GGGGTAGGGGGGCGGTCTCTGGATACCTCACCCCGCCCCCGGGCGCCTAGGAGGCAATACTCAGACTCCAGGGTGGGCGCGCAGAGGCTGGAGGGAGGGGCGAGTTCCAGCGGGCAGGAAGGAAAATTGTTGTGCAAGGTACAGTATTTTGCTTTTTATTACTTCGCGCTTGACCACCTCTCCTGTAAAGAGATCCTAAAACCGAGAACTGGAAAAGTGCTTTGTAGACTCTCTTACAGGGTTTTCCCACCTTTGTATTCTGCACGAATATGCCTCACCTCTAAGACATTCTTAAAGGTAAAGACACAGAGACTTTTCCTAAAATGTTCTGGCTCTTTATCCGCTGCAATTTTCCACTTTGCATTTAAAAAGTTCTTAAAGGCAAGGGCCTGGAAGTGCTGTTTTTGAGAACCGATTCTGTGGTTTATCTTTACACCATTGCACTTCCCCTTTAAGGCTCTTAAAGGTAAGGTGTGGACAGACTTTTGCCTTTTAGATGCTAGCGTGAGGAGATGAGCAGGTGGTAACACCTCTTTGGCCAGGGTCCAAGAGGTACCTGCAAGGGGCCACCCTTCCTTTTTGAATAAATAAATTTTCTACTGCACTTGTTCACTTTAACTTTGTTCTCAACGCCTCCACAGAAGGGATGGAGTAGGAAACTCTGTTACAGACAAGAAAACCCAGGCCCAGAGGAGCAAGAAACCTGAATCTCTAGGAAGGCTTCAGAACTTAGTTTTGATGTAGTCCGTGACAGGTGACCACAGCCCCTTAGAGATAATTGGGTCTAACTCGTGCCTTTTCCAATGAGGAAACAGGCTTGGACAGGAACTAGAAGTAACTTACCTGCTAAAAGTAATTTACTAACTTAGTGACACAGTAGTAGCAAGTCCCCATCTCCTTGCCCTACCTTATACTGCAATAAGCAGACTAGAGGCTACATTTAGCTCCCAGAGCTACATTTCAGCTATGATCTGGACTGGTTCAAGGTGAGGCCCACATCCACCAGAGAGGCCCACCAGGCCTCCACCTCACCCACTCAGGTTCCCAGAACGTGATGGAAAGAGGGATAAGATGTCTTCTGAGTCCTTAAAGCTGCAGAGCAGCCAAGTGAGATCAGCCCAGCATGAGATATGATGGGGTGAGCTTACACCTCCCCTGACAGATCCCCACCACCCCAGCTGTCACCTGCAAATCCTGGGTGAGAACTGAAGCTGTCAGTGCCTTCCCTGCTAACGCCCACGCCTGCTGCTGCCTATGCCACGAGTTTGAACAAAAGGAACAGAGGCAGCAGCTCCTCTATTACTTAAACATGCAATACAGTTACCTGAGCACCCAAGGGCCAGGCCTCCACCTCACCCACTCAGGTTCCCAGAACGTGATGGAAAGAGGGATAAGATGTCTTCTGAGTCCTTAAAGCTGCAGAGCAGCCAAGTGAGATCAGCCCAGCATGAGATAATATGAGTGACACTGTCCTTAGGACTTCATTCACTTAATCTGTTAATTCTTAATGACTATGTAAGGCGTTACTGCCTATTTTTACTGTGGAAGAAATAGAGTTTAAGTAACTTGTCTGAGAGGTCAATAAGCAAACAACTGGGGTTCCACTCATGTCTGCTTGATAATGATTTTTATCCACCTTTGCATCTGAGGTTCCGTTTACAGTAAGGATGGGAGGAAGAGGAGGGACAGAAGAAACGTAGGCAACACAATAAGCAGGGCCATGGGCAGTGGCTGTGGTGAAAGGGCCAGAAAATTACATGGCTATAGTAGAGTAAGCCAACTCTAATCTCTGGGGACCATGAACAAAGTTCAAATTTTAAAATGCAGGAAAAGACACTGGGCCCATTATGAGACCAGAAGGTTCTGCAGTTTAGTTGAAACCTCAGGGACATGAAGAGGAGGGTAAGAGAGGAACATGGAAAAGGAGGTTTGAAACCCTACTACAAAGAACCTTAAGTGCTGGCAAAGGAGTTAGCGCCCAGCTCTGAAAGCAATGAGAGTAGCTGAAGGTCTTTATGTGTGGAAATGACACGATCAGGATGGCTCTTCTTTTTTTTAATATATCTTTATTGATTTCAGAGAGAGGAAGGGAGAGAGAGAGGGAGAGATAGAAACATCAATGATGAGTCGTCATTGATCGGCTGCCTCCTGCACACCCCCAACTGGGGATTGACCCCACAACCGGGGCGTGTGCCCTGACCGGGAATCAAACTGCAAAACTGCAATCGCCTGGATCCTAAGTCGTTGCTCAACCGCTGAGCCACACCTGGCTGGGTAGGATGGTTCTTTGGGAAGCAGAGGCTGGGAGAGGTATGCATGGATTAGAGCAGCAGAGGCAAGGCCTGAAGACCGGAGTGTAGGGGCCAATCACAGTATTACATATGGAAGGCAATGAAGGACCATCCTGAGAGAGATGGCAGTGGGAAAGTAGAGGCAGGATGGGTTTGAGAGAATAGATGGGACTTGGCAACTGAGTAGGCTGGGTATAAAGGAGGAGGAGTTGCAGATTGTAAGATGTTGAGGCATTAAGAGAGGGGGCAGCTGGGCTGGTGTGGCTCAGCTGGTTGAGTATCATTCCATGCACCAGGTGGTCATTGGATTCCCAGTCAGGGCATATGCCTGGGTTGTGGGCTTGCTCCCCAGTAGGGGACGTGCAGGAGGCAGCTGATTGATGTTTCTCTCATCTATGTTTCTCTCTCCAGCGCTCTCTCTCTCCCTTCTCCCTGAAATCAGTAAAAACATATTAAAAAAAAAAAGTTAGGGGACAGAGATCAGAAGGTAAATGGCTCTATTTTGAAGACTGAGTTTGAGATGTTAGAACATCCATATGGAGAGTTTCAGCAGTTCTCTGGACAGCTGGATCTGAAATTCAAAACAAGTTGGGGCAAGAGTCACAGATATGAGGATAATTGCTATAAAGATGGAAGTAGACGAGCCAGAGGAAAGGATGAGATGCAGTACTGGCTTTATGAATGTGTAGCCTGTGCAGTCACACAGGCTTAATTTAATGCTCTATTGTTGCTGTCTTGAAATTCTTTAAACAAGGAACCCTGCATCTTCATTTTGCATAGGGACCCACAAATTATGCTAAGGAAGATAACTAAGGGAGAGGGTGGGATTCTTAGCCTCAAACCATATAAGGGCTTTTAAGAGCCTGTGATTCTTATGAAATCTGATATGTTTGTGCAGTCATGCATTTGCCTGAGAATAAGGTTCACGAATTTTATCAGATTTCCAAAGGGGTCTGTGACCCAACAAATCACAAACCAGGTTGGTACTGATGGCTGCTGGGAAGGGGCACTGGGTGTTGAGGGACAGGTGTGGAAGATTTATTTACTTCTCATCGTACACCCCTTTTCTACCTTTTTAATTATGGCATATCTTACCTGTTCAAAAACTAAATAAAATAATTTAAAAATAAAACACAACCTTGGTGTTCCAGAAAAAGAAGAGGGACCAAAGAGGGTCTTGGGGAGAGGGAGGTGAAGAAAGTGGAAATGCATCCCTGGCCAGTGTGGCTCAGTTGGTTGGAACGTAACCCATGCACAAGGTAGCAGGTTCAATTCTGGGTCAGGGCACATGCATAGGTTGCGGGTTCGATCCCCAGTTAGGGCACGTATGGGAGGCAACAGATCGATGTTTCTCTCTCTCTCCCTTCCTCTCTCTAAAAATCAATTTTTAAAAAAAGAGGTAGAAATACAGCTACCAGAGGCAGTGGAAGAACTAGTACTGAGCATGTAGAGGCTACTGCCAAGGGAGGAGGGCCTCTCTAGATGAAGAGTACAACTAATGGTCAAAGGTGGCAAGAGGGGAGGATGAGGAACAAGAAGGCCTGGTGCCTTTCATGTGGCATTAAGTATGAAGATGATGATGGCAGGACCTCCCCATGAGGGGAGCCACACACACCACAGGCCTCCCTTCCTCCAACTCAGCCAGTTCTATCAGCCGACCCATCTGTGTGTTCCCTCCAGACGCCTACAGGGAAGAGCTCAGAACAGAAGGAAGCTGAAGTCACACTCCTGCCAGACTTGGGAGAGGTGGGGTCTTCTCTGAGAGCAAGGCCATTTTTCTCTCCCCCTCTGATCAAGGCAAAGTACAGCGGGGCTGCTGATATGGACTGGTGTGAGAGGTAACTAAGGGCACCAGGACCTGAGCTGGCTGTGCCAGGTTAAGGTCTCCTCTGCTCTTGTGCTCCTATTAACCACTGCAATTTTGTCTTGGGGTCTGTGTCTTACCAGCCTAACCCTTGCCCACCCCTGCTATCCCCATTCCCCCAGCCGACCCATCTCATTGGCCAAGAGCATAGACTGTGTCCTCCCCTGAGGGGCCAGAGGTGAGACCAGTCATGTGTCTTACAAGGTATTCCTCTGCTCTAGGCCTCTGTTTACAGTTGGCTCATTAGGCCCTGCTGCATCTAACAGTCTACAGAGATTGAAGCAAGGGTCTCTCATCTTTTGAAAGGCTGCCAGAGTCCTGCAAGAACAACTTCACAAGTCTTCTGGGTTAAACACTCACTCCCAGAAAGTCGACTCATACGTACATCTTTTATTAATTTAACATAGCTCCAATCCACATGAGTTCAAGTAAATTTTTCCTGGAAATTGTTCATTCATCTACAAATGCTTAATGTTCCCCTCAAGTATTGCAACATGGCAATCACTCTGCTGGGCCCTCTGAGGAAAACAAATACAGGTAAGACTCTATCCCTGCTGCCAAGTAACTTACAATGGACCCAGAGACATGAAAGAAGGTGGTGACAGCACTATGGCCAAAACAGCAGCAAACTGTACCATATTCCATCTAACTGGGGGTAACATCATGTGCTTTAAAATTTTCTAAGAATGGAAGAAACAAAATTTAGAAGAAATATTTTAGGAACTGGGGCTAGAAGGATGTATGTATGCTGTAGATAGATGGAGGTAAGAAGGAAAACCACCCCTTGCTGTGAAACTACATGAGCAAATGCACAGGAGAAATGGTGGGCAGCCCGCCCCATGGTAAGGTAAAGACCTTCCCTACACAGAAAGGCAGCAACATTTGGGTGGATGGTGCGGCCAAGTTGTCAAGGGGCCAAAAAAAACAGACAAGAGTATCCTGCTTCTTAGTCCTTTATCATCTTAGTGGCTATCTGATGCATATATGCTCAAGGTCCCTTTTTATCTCTTTGAATCTTGATGCCATGCCTCCATAGCTTGGTGGCCTTATAAAATCAAGATGTGAATACAAACTCAATGGGGCCTTGCAGGCATTTTAGTAGTACTCAGACCCACTTCTTCCCGGATGGAGGTCTAGGGAGAAAAGTCATTTTTTGTTGTTGTTAATCTTCACTCAGATATTTTTCCATTGCATGGAAGGGAGGGAGGGAGGAAGAGAAGGGAAGAGAGAAACATCAATGTGAGAGACACATCGAATGGCTGCCTCCTGAAAGTGCCCTGACCGTGGCCAGGGATTGAACCCACAATCCAAGTACATGCCCTTGACCAGAAATTGAACCCATGACCCTTAGGTGCATGGGCCAGTGCCCTAACCACTGAACCACACTGGCTAGGGCAAAAAGTCACTCTTAACCTCTGTGTTTCTGAACCTCAGTTCTCCCAACTATACAATGAAGATAATACCTACCCTGTAGTATTGTCATAAGGACTAAATAAAAATACCAATATCTTTGTAATGTGTCAAGCATTATACAAATGAGCAGTGGAAGTAATGTTTTTTTGAACCTGTGTCCTGGTCCCTTATTTAGTCACTCAGCAGCTTGCTAACCTCTCAAAGCATAGCACCACTCTGGAAATACAAATTTAAGTTGCAGTCTGCAAGGTCCAACATGACTCCCACAGGACTCACAGGTGACCCATTACTAGATGTTGTTTTAGGAAGGACTAGGGGGAAGACTGGCAACTAAAGCCTAAGTGGTAGTATTATACTGTGCAGTTTTCCATTTTCTTGTTCAAATGACAACTAGTCTTCAGGCAGAGAACCTGTGATTTAAAATACTTTTTCTGAAAGGAAATTGCCAGAGTAGGGCGAGGTTCTGGAGACCACCAGCAGGTGCTACAAGAATGCTTGGGAGGTTAGGAGGGACACTAAACAAAGGGCTCTAACAGTGATGCTAGAAAAAGCAAAGGGCACTAGGTACCCTGAAGATACCGGGGGAGGGTCACCCTGACTTTTTTTTTAAATTCTCATCTTAGGGTATTTCTCCATTGATTTTAGATAGAATCGAAGGGAGGAGGAGAGAGAAATATCAACGTGACAGACGTATCGATTGGTTGCCTCCCGCACTCACCCCACCCAGGACTGGGGCTGGGGATCAAACCTGCAACCCAGATACGTGCCCTTGACTGGAAATCAAACCTGAGACTCTCTAGTGCATAGGCTCACCTTGATTTTTGAAATCCATCTGGCCATAATCTGATTATGCAGTTTCAGGACAAAAAGACTGGACAGTGGCATTTGTTTTCCTGAAAGCTAGGCTGGTTGTATGCGACTCAGGACCTTGTGAGTCTGGGACTTTTAGCACAGGAACAATTAAGGTTTATTTTCATCACAGCCCCACCCTCACCTCTCCCCCTGTAAATCTTGAGCATTCATGAAGTTGGGAAGGAGAATGAGGTCATGTAGAAAGTTAAGTGTGGAAGCACACAGAGGAATAGGAATGATGGCAGTAGTAATGAAAGGTTAACAAGTTCTAAGCCCTCTACAGGGATCATTTCATTTAATCTCCATATCCCTGAGACAGGTAATATTGTAATTTTCAGATGAGGAGTCTGGGTTGAAGAAGTGGAGTAACATCCAAGCTCACTCAGCTGGTTTGAGACAAAAGAGAGATCTGAACCATGCAGTGCTGTTCCAGATTGTGACCAATCTGCTACAGGGTTGAGGTCTCCTGGCTTGGTTGGGCCCTGGAACTGGGAGGAGGCGGCTAATTCTCAACACCACTCATTCTAAACAAGTAGGCATCATGATGCTTGAAAGCTGATTGAAGCTCCCATCCTTTCTGGAACACTGGCAAGAGTTTGACAAGTCTCTGATTTCCAAAGTCATTGTTTCCCCCTCTGCAATCCAGCACTGACTGGCTCCTTTCCACTCTTCAGGCACCTCATTCATATCTACCCATTGCCCTAAAAAATAACTGCTTGCTTAATGGCTCTCCAGTAACTCCAGCCAACTCCTTAAGGTCTCTTGAGAGCAGATCATCAGGGGCAGCTAACAGGACTCATCCAACTTTTAAAGTGATCTTTGATCAGCTCTTTCCTTGTCTCTACCTTCTCACACGATCTAAACTGGCTGGTCTACTTTACCTTACACAGAGCTCTCTCAACCAAGAGCAGAGCAAATCAGTTCTGGATACAGAGTACAAAAGTTGGGAGGGAGAAGATGTCTGAAGCCAGAAGATTCAGACACACAGCTTTTCAGACTTCAGAATTCCTTTCCTGCATCCAGCTCATGACTTGACTTCACCTGGTTGCCATGGAAACATCAATTTCTGGTGGATGGCAAGCAGCACTTTAGACAGAAAGCATCACAGGCTACCATGGTAACACTAAAAAGAGTAAAGCTGCCTCCTCTCTTGAAGGGGTGAGGAAGGAATAGATGAAGCTGCCAGGGAAGGCAGGCCAGAAGGGAGAGCCTTTAGAAATCCTGGCTCCCACTTGAACAAAGAGGGACTTAACTCAACAGACATGTAATATGTGCAAAGCAAAGCAATAATGAAAAGGACACGTCTAGCCCTGGTCTGTTTGGCTCTGAAGCGTCCCGGGTTTGATTCCGGCCACGGGCACATACCTTGGTTGCAGGCTTGATCCCCGGCCCTGGTCGGGGCACATGTGGGAGACAACCAATCGATGTGTATCTCTCACATCAATGTTTTCTCCCTCTCTCTCTCTCCCCCTTCCACTCTCTGAAAAATCAATGGAAAAAATATCCTCAGATGAGGATTAAATAAATAAATAAATAAAGGACACATCTATGCCTGGCTTCATTAGGCCAAACCATCTATTAATAGAGTATACAAAGACCTGTAAATAAAGGCAGAATAAGACCTATAATAGGACGAAGAAAACTGAAATGGGAATTTAGCTCCAACTAGGAAACTTTCAGTCTTAAAGGGCTAGATTTTGACAAGCAGAAGAGGAGCAGGAAGAGAAAATGAGCAGACATGGAAGTAAAAACTCAGGATATACTGAGAACTGTGGGTATAGACAGAAAAAGCAATACTTCCCCATGACTTCAAGGCCTTGACTTCCACAGTAGTGCTGGGGCAGGTTAAGACTAAGATCAAGGGATCTGAAGCTAGACTGCCTGGATTGGAATCCTAAACTTGGTAACTTTGTAACTGTTGGGCAAGTTATTTAACCTCTTTGGGTATCAGTTTCCTCATTTATAAAGATAAAAGAATCTATCTCAGAGGGTCACTGGAAGATGAAATGATTCAATACACATAAAGTGACTAGTACCTAACCTACAACAAATCTTGCATAAATGTTAACAGTTATCATTATACCACCTCCTACCACATCACTTTTCAGAGCCAGGATAGACTCTTCTAACTGTCCAAGTATTAATTCCTGAATCCGAATGTCAAGAACATAGGAGTTTAAAGGGAGGAAATGCCACTGCCTTAGAGAAGACAGAAGTATAGGCTAGATAAGCCAAAAGTCAGGTGAAATCCCATTATGAACCGAGAACTGGTAGGGAAATTCCAATTATGCTGAGAAAGAATCTGGGTCACAGTCTTACACGCCCCCCATGCTCAAGCAGGAGAGGTTGAGGGAGGTTTCTTTTACCTTAGGCTGGGCCCCGAGGCTGTTTATTGCCCCCTTTTCTCCACTCCAACCACTCCCAATAGAGGGATGACTAAGGCACTGAGTCATACAGTGACACCGGCTGTCACCCCCTAGATGCAGTTACCTTACATAGGTAAAGACTAAAGAAGCCGTCATTCTTCACTTCCACCATTGTCTCTCCCCCAACAAGAGGATGTATGAGGCGAGAAGACCAGGAGGCCAGGAAGAACTGAGGTGAAAGGAGCCAAAGTGCAGGAAGCCCAAAGTAGGTAGGAATAGGAACATAAAGAAACCAAGCAGAGATGGGGGCCCATCTGAGGAGGGCAGGGAGGTGAGGTCTATGGGTATTTATAGTTTGGAGGAATTGAAGACTGCCATGAGGAGGCCTCGTCCATAGCTTCAGGATGACTAACAAAAATGGTCCACACTGTGCTTCTCAGGATACATTAGCAGCCAAATCAATAACTATAGGGGGACTGGGCCATAGCCAGCTGCTCCTACCTAAAAATAATGCATCCTCCTTCCCTTCCCTCAGGTCCAGAGAGCAAACTAGGGAAGGGGTGGGGGTGGCAGCAAAAGAAACAGAAGCAGCAAGTAAGAATGCAGCAGCCTAGAAGAATCAAGAGCTGGTCCTGGGTCCCAGTGGTCTTTTATGCCACAAACAGGCTTCATGTACTTTATACTTCAGTGTTAAATGCAACCTCAGAAGTAAACATGAGCGAAAAACCATCACACTGCTTTAGAGGTCTGAGAGCTGACAAATTAAAACTTAACAGCAATTATCCATATTTTTAGCAAGATAATAAAGTCTTAACGCACTGTTGCCATAGAGACCACTAAAGAATGAAGGAGCCCCACCAGCCCTGTCCCTGAACCTCAGACCTCCTCTTCTTGGTTGGTTCCTAGCTGGTGAGCCAGGCTCTGACTTGGTTGCCTGTTATAAGCCTTACAAAGCAGGCAAAGGAAGGTGTGCCTCCCCTTTGGTAGGGCCATTCCTGGAATATTCAGCTCCCTGGAAGTCACTGGCCCCAGGCCTGTGTTGTCCCAGGCAAAGCTATATATATGGAAAGCAAGAGTTGAGGTGACTGGAAGAATAAAAGATTTAAGATCTGAAGAGTCCTGATGTATGATGCCTAAATCCCTTTGGATATTGGACTTGGATTTCTATTACAAGCAGGGCTAAAGGTAGTATGGACACCAATGGTAAGAATGTTGAGCTTAGAAGGCTTCTCTGGCACTTAAGCCAGCAAGATCATTAAAAGCCCCTAAAGGTAGGTGCAGAATGTGCTACTGCCACACTGCCATCTGGTGGAAAGACAAGATCTGTCCTTAGGCACAGAGACAGAGCCTGGAAGTCAGTCCACAGGGCAGGGAGAATTGGAGGTAGCTAAGATGAAGACACAGGAGAGACCCTGGGGCAGGGAATATAATGCAGATACAGATGGTGTATCTGTATATAGGCATGTGCCTTTTGTCCTTTCTTCTTTCTAAAAAAGATTATAAACCATTAAAATAAAGAAAACACAATGATATTACAAATGTTTTATATCCCTAGAACCATTCATGGTTTTAGCTCATTAGAAGTTAACATCAGACACAACTGACTGAGACCACACACATATGGGCAGCAGCCACAACAGCAAGGCTTGCCTTTTGTACAAAGTTTATATGTATGCATGTGTGTATATGTGTGTGTGTATATATATATGTATGTATATTTATGTACACAGACACAAGGGTATAAAAATCCAGTGAGAAGGGCTCATGTGTGTCCAAGTAGGGGACAAGAGCAGCTTTAACAGCTGGGGAGGAGCCCACAGTAGAGGCACATAGGAAGTGGTGGAGAGTAGCAGCCTCTCCACCATTCTCCTACCCTGGACCTAAGGAAGGACCTGGGAGGAAGGACAACTAACTATACAAAGGAAGATGGAAGATACTGGAAAGGTACCCCATCTTTTGCTAAACTCCTGAATGCCCCTAAGATATCCAAAATGCCTGGCAGCAAAGATCATTTCTACAGCTCCAAGCAAGATGCTGAGCCCACAGTAGTTCTGGCCCCAAGCTGAGGTCTAAGGCAGGCTTTACAATGCACATACATGTCCAAGCTATTTTCCAGGGCCCCTGCAGCAGCAAGCCAGCACCTTCAAGGTTCACCCCCCCCAAACTCCAATGTCCTCTTAGACCAGAGAGCTTAAGGGTTTTTCCTTGACAAAACCGTAAGGTAAAGGTATAGGAAAAAAAAAAAAAAAAAAGAAGTCAGTTCCTTCAGTTAATGCCCTATGGCCTTCCCAACAGAGGAGGAATTGAGGAATCACTGAGAGATGGTTGGAAAGGGCAATGAAGATCATCCCAGGAGATGATACACACAGAGAAACAAGTGTTCAATAATTCTCTTCAACCAGTGGTTGCTCAGCAAAGTCCATTCCCAGTGGGGCCATGGGGCAGGAGCTCTTCTCGGTGTTTTAAGGGTGGCACCAATTCCCCCAGGATTAATGTCCATGGCCTCAGGATGGCTTGGTCCACAAAATGGAGAGAAGGGGCCATAGAAGGGTAGATATGAAAAAGGGAGTGGCAGGACCCAAAGGCACAGGGAGACAATGTACTGTGCCACTGATTTACCTGGGGCAAGGAGAAGAAGCCAAACAAAAAAAATAACCAGAGACTAAAATAAGCAAGGTCCTGAGACTCACATGGTCTGGGGGGTAAAAAGGCTGGAAAGCTGGAAGCACTGGGAGGCGACTGCCTGAGAGGCAAGGTTCAGGGCTGGACTCAGAGCTGGAACAGAGAGAGAGGCAAAGTGAGTCAGTGAGCACAGAGCATTCCTTCTTTCCAGGCCCAACCCATCTCTCCCTTTCCCAAGTCCAAGTCTACCAGTCAGAGCTGCTGGGTTTAGGGCCCCCAAGGGAACTGCTCCATTCAGCTGCAAAGCAGCCGCTTGGGCAGCGGCGGCAGCAGCAGCAGCAGCAGCTGTGGTTGGCAGCTGGATTCCAGAGCCTAAAATGCAAAGAAAAGGTGGGGTTAAGTCCTAACCCTCAATCTACAATTCAACCCCATGCTCTTAACTCTACAGAGAAACTCTACCTTCTGCCAATTTGGCCATGAGCTGCAAATGTGCACCTGCTGATGCCAGATCCAGCTTCTGGTCTCCATCAGGAAAAGTGATGTCTGTGCCACCATCCAGTCGCTCAGTCACATGGCCAACCCTCATAGGTCGGCCAGCAAGCTCAAAGCCATTCAACTGTTCAAGAGCCCGTCGGGCACACTCGGAGTCAGAGAACTACAAGAAACCCAGGCCATATCAATCACCTTTCAGCCACAGATATGCCCTCAAAGTCCCACTAACACTCCTAGTCCTACTATCCCAGGAAAATTCATGTTTGCTGTGGCACAAACTTTTCTTTCTCAAGGAATGTGCCCTCAGATCCCCCTAAAATTCTTCTCAGAAAGGGACCTTTTCCAACTGACTTAATGGCAAACACTTTTCATTCTTGGAGCTTCAATAAAAATCTAACAATGTAAAAAGTCAATTATCTGTAGGGAGCCTACTCTGACAGGCTGTCTCACATATGGGAATATAAAACAGGAGACAAATAGACTGAGAGCTAAGGCTTCTGGGCTTTATTTCAGCCCTTAGGTCAATTAAGTTTCAGTTTTCAGTTAAGAACAAGGAACCTGACCTCCAGAGCCCAGCCTTAGAAGGGAATGCATGCTGGTATTGAAAGGAAGACTGCACCCAACCTCCACCTCTACCACAGAGCTGCTGACTCAGTGACCTGCTGACCACAGGGCCTTAACTCTTGTTCCTTTCATTAGCAGCATCAGCAGCAGTCTGCCATAAAGAGGATTTCCAGTCTGCTGTTTAGTGTCAAGAGTGTTGACCAGAAAACAGCAACACAAGGGCAAAAAGGCCCAACAGAAGCCTTTTCAAAACTGAGTCACAAAGGGAGTTAGAAAAGGTACTTGCCACCAGGAACACCATAGCTGTCTTTGTTTACTCTGGTATTACCTGCCCTAGGGCCTGGCATGTGGTATTGACAGTTCTTAGGCAGGTGGTATAGATGGCCTGCCTTTACTGGATACTTTTGAGGTGAGCAATTGCCATGGTAGAACACAACCTACCTCCCCTCTGACCTGCAGGTAACTGTGGGGTGTATGTTGCCTGGATTGAGCCCAGAAAATATCAGCTTCTATCAGACTTTGTGGCTGGCCAGTCCTCAGCCTGGAGTCACATGGGGCTAGAAGAACCAGTCATGGGAATTGGAAACAATTTTGTTGGAATGTCAAGAAAAGATAAGACTTGTCCACTATTAGGTGGCCTCACTGTTCTCCCTATAGTGGGATTTAAATATAAAGATACTTCTCAATGGAAAACCTGCTTCAAACAGCATAGCACCAGAGGGAAGTATATAACTTCCTATTCCTACCCCATCATGAAAATATATCAATTCTATAAAGCCTGTCTATAAAAGCTCACACCTAACCTCTCTCATACCCCCAACCTTTTAATTGCAGTCTGGAACCAATACTGTTACCCAAAAAACAAGCTGCAGCACCAGGGAAGGTGGCTGAACTCCTGAACACACCCATACCAGGACCACTGAAAGAGTGTAGGAACAAAGCCAAGATCTCAAGCAACACACTGATCTCAAGGGGCAGAAGGCTAGTCCAAGGTTCAGGCACCAGGGTCAATGGGGTCATTTAAACAGTTCCTAAAGGAGGAGAATGAAGCTAAGCTGCAAAATCAGACAAGTGGACAAACCCAAGTTAAAATAAGTTAAAGACTAGAGACTTACCGTAATGAAACCATAACCTTTAGAGCGTCCTGTATCTGAGTCCTTCATCAGGACAATATTATCAATCTGTAGAATAGAGAGAAATTACTAATAATCTTTTGGCTAACCCACACCTTTGACCCTTCCTACCCAGACTGTTTTAAATACCTCCAACTTTCTAGTCACCAATTACATCTCTCCAAATCTTTTTAAAAAGAGACAAAGGTCATTTTCCCCCAAAAACACCTTTTCTGACTAATCTTACTTAATCTGGATCTCTTTATTTGATTTCATGGTGCTGACTCATTTGTCTATTGAACAGTCTGAACAGAGAGATGGAACCTAACTTTCCCAGCATGCACTCATAATCCCATTACTATATTTGCAGTGGGTTAATCACGGTCAGACAGAATGAAGAGGAACACTCACCCTCCCCACTTTTTCCAATTCTCTTCAGAGGTTTCCCTCACTTTCTACTCACTTTGCCAAAGGGCTCAAAGATGCCCCGGAGCATGTCCTCAGTGATATTACAGTGCAGGGAGCCCACATAGAGGCGCATTGGTCCACCGCTGCCCTTCTGCAGGTTGTTGGCCATGGCTGCCAGTCGGTTTTTCTCAGCCTGAGGAAGGAGGGAACGATGGGTCAGGTCCCACATCTCCTACCTTCAAAGCTGTCTTCTCATGTCAGTTTCTCAGCCTGCTCACCTGTGAGGCCTGTACAATGATAGGGACCCCCAGCAGCCGCTGCCCAGTCAACCCAATGGCCAGTGGCACAGACTGGATTTCACAGAATTCCACATAGGCAATGCCCTTAGAACGACGTGAGTTGCGATCTGAGATGATACGTACATCACGAACCTATCCAGGAGAAAAAGGAAATCCTAAGTTGGACATAAAGGAGGATGGACAAAAGACAGACTACTCAGAAGAAAATTAAAGGGGGCAATGTTACCTTGCCAACAGCAGAGAAAAAGTCCTCCAGGTCTCGAGGCCGAATGCGGGCAGCTAACTGCATACAGAAAACTGTTCGGGCATCACGCTCCTCAGGACTCAGATTATCAATTGGCTCCCTAAAAAGTAAAATTTATTGAGACCCCTCATGCCCCTCACCCAATACTTGGTCACCGTTCTCCAGCTACCCTCAAGTACCACACATTCGTGAAGTTTGGCAACAAAGAGCTTTTTATTCGTATCACGCAACTCCTAAAAAAGTGCTCATTATCAACTCACCTGACGGGGCTCTTCTCTTTGAAATGAGGGCTCTTACTGTGTCCATACCTTCGCCTAAGGAATAGAGAACAAACGTGAAAATTGTGTCACCCAACTTTATTCACATCGGTCCAATGCTGGGTCTACCATTTTCAAGAGAAAACCAGATCTCCACCCACTACTTCTTCTCAAATGTGATCATTATTATTTTTATTAATTTCAGAGAGAGGAAGGGAGAGGAAAAGCTAGAAACATCAATGATGAGAGTCACTGCCCAGCCAGGCATGGCTCAGCAGTTGAGCTTTGACCTGGGATCCAGGTGATCGGGGTTCGATTCTCTGTCAGGGCACATGCCCGGGTTGTGGGCTCGATCAATGACTCTCTCATCATTGATGTTTCCCTCTCTCTCTCCCCCTCCTTTCCTTTCTCTGAAATCAATAAAGATATATTGAAAAGAAAAAAAATGATGAGAGTCACTGATCAGCTATCTCCTGCACATCCCCTGCTGGGGATCAAGCCCTCAACCCGGGCATGTGCCCTGAATAGGGAATTCAACCGAGATCTCCTGGATCACGTTGATGCTCAACCACCAAGCCACACTGGCTGGGTGAATTATTTTCTTTTAATCCTCACCCAAGAATTTTTTTTTTTTTAAATCCTCACCCAAGGACCTAGTTTTATTAATTTTAGAGAGGAAAAAAGAGAAAAACATCAATCGGTTGTATCCAACACACACCTCAACCAGGGATTGAGGTATGTGCCCTGGATATGTGCCCTCTCTGGGAATTGAACCTGTGACCTTTACCGGATGACACTCCAACCTACTGAACCACATCAGCCAGGGCTACTAATTAAAAAAAAATTTTTTTTAATCCTCTTCTGAGGATATTTTTTTCCATTAATTTTTAGGGAGTGGAGGGGAGGAGGGAGGGGGAAGAGAGTGAGAAAGAGAAACATTAATGTGAGAGAGACACATCAATTGGTTACTTCTGACCAGGGCTGGAGACTGAACCTGCAACCCTTTGGTCTGTGGGCCAACGCTCTAACCAATGAGTGGCACTGGCCAGGGCTTGATTTTTATTTTATTTTTTTTAGAGACAGAGGAAGGGGGAGAGACTGGTTGCTTCTTGCACATGCCCCAGCAAGGACTGAACTCACAACCTAGGTATGTGCCCTGACCAGGATCAAACCTGCAAACTTTTGGGGTACAGGACGACAATCCAACTGAGTCACCCAGTCAGGGCAACATGTGAATTCTTTTTAAAAAAATATGTCGCCCGGCCGGGCGTGGCTCAATGGCTGAGTGTCGACCTAGGATCCAGGAGATCGAGGTTCAATTCCAGGCAGGGGCACATGCCCAGGTTGAGGGCTCGATCTCCAATGACTCTCTCTCATCATTGATGTTTCTCTCTCTCCCTCTCCTTTCCTCTCTCTGAAATCAATAAAGATATATAAAAAAGTGTTTACTGATTTCAGAGAGGAAGGGAGACAGAAACATCAATGATGAGAGAGTCATCGATCAGCTGCCTTCTGCATGTCCCCTACTTCGGACTGAGCCCGAAACCTGGGCATGTGCCCTGACGGAATCGAACACGATCTCCTGGATCATAGGTCGATGCTCAACTGCTGAGCCATGCTGACTGGAGAACATGTGAATTCTTAATACCACCCCAGCAATAACTGGATCTCCTACCTAACAGAGCAGGACAGAAACATCCTCAGAGAGGGACCACAGCAAATGTGTTTTACCCAGATTACAACACAAAAGTGAGCTTATTAGTAAAAGGTGATACCCAGTGGCAAGTGGTGGGCTCCTGTAGTGCACACGAGTCTCACGACGCGGATCCCGACTTCGGGACTCACTACTGTGTCGACGATCCCAGCTACGGCTACGGTGACGATGCTGCCGATCTCGACTTCGGCTGCGACTGTTTCTCCATCTGTGCCGATCCCGGTCTTGACTACGACTATAGATAGACACAACTATTTAGTTTGTTAAAGAGCCAACCAACCTCTCCTGTCCTTTAATGTATAGCTTCCCCTGGTATTTTTCCATTTGTAGTAATTCCCAAAACCCAACAGCCCCCAGAATGACTGACCTGTGCTTTCTATCCCTGCTTTTACTATGGCTCCGACTCCTCTTCTTCCTGTGAAAGACAGTGTAAATTCTTATTATTGAGAAGGTTTCATAATCTCTCCCAAGTAAAAGGAATGAGAGTATGGCCAGTGTGAAACAGAAAGCAATAAAGGACCAAAGTCCAGACGATTTGGCAGTAGCTCACAGAAACTACACAACACCAACTTACACACAGCCATGGATGCTGTCAGGCATCTGATTCAGCCAAAGCTGGTGTTTCCAAAGTAGGGGTCTTCTTGCTATTTTATGCAAATGAAATATATCAATGCTAGGGCTGATTCACAAATCTACAGTGAAAAGCTTAAACTACATTATATCATTAAACCAAGTCACCATTATGCCCAAGATCCAGTGGAGCCATTACTAAATGCAGTCTTAGAAACACCTTCCTCTCTGTTCTGGCTATTTCTCCAATGGACAAGACTGCCTCCCTTCCTAAGTTGCCAACCCATTTCCTCATGCCACACTCACTTGTTTGCCTCCCCACCGGTGCTGCTCCCACTGCCGCTGTTGCTGCTGCTGGTGTTACTATGGTCGTCCTTTTTAACCTCCTTCCCTTGCTGTTCATCCTGAGGGGTTCACCAGGAAAATGTCACAGGTTCAAGGTGGCAGGCACATAGATTCCATTTGGCACAGAAAGAACAAAAGTAGACAAGGAAAAAAGCATATGAAATCAAAGCTCTTGATTATCTAGCCAACTTTTAAGCACCTGGATCTCATAACACAAGAAATAAGAGAGGCACAGAGAAAACTACCCAAAAGAAAGAAATCAGAGGAACAGATTTTGATGTCAAAACTTTAGCTACTCAACACCTATTTCTCAGGAGAGAAGTCAGTTAGGTCTGAGGTACACTGACTTTCTACTGTATCACTCAGAGCTATGAGCCAAGTACTCATTCCCACCACATTTCTGCCCTCTCCCTTTTGGGGAGGCCCACTGTGAAAGCATGGCCTTTGAGTATAGGTCTCCAGCACAGCTTACTAAAAGACTATGCCTTTTATGAATAGCCACTGTACACAATCAACAAGCAGGGAAAGAGAAATCACAAAATGTTGAGCCCAATGATCCACATAAACTTTTTTTTACTACCCAATTCCAGGAGTGAGGTGGGAATATTACCTCCTCTTTTTTATAGGGAGCCTCCAGCATGGCCTCAATCACTATATCAAAGTCATCTGAAGCCATCACAGCAGATCTGAGGAGAGGATATCAATACATAAGAATATTATTTATATTTTTCCTCCCCTTCCAGCACCCCACATTCCCTTCCCCCTCCAAGAAACAGATTTTAGAATAGAATTCTGCTTCATAAACTCCACAGGGATCTTAACAACTATTGCTTCCCCTAGATTTATTTTTGCACCTTATAGATCTGAACTATTTCTGCTTGGTGGCTTAGAATAGGTCAAGGGTCTACAAGGAAACTGGGTAGAGACAAAATAATACAGACCGTGTCCTAGCCTGTGAAGAGAAAGTGTTGGTACTCAAAATTACCATTCACTTTACAATGAACACTAGGCCTCCATTCTACTATTCAAAATTCTGAATAATTAACTGGTTTAAACTTAAATCACAGAAATAAGCACATACTTCCAATAAAAAGGTAAAGGTGCAAGACTAAAAATGAAGAGTAAGACAAAGAAACACCAGAATAATTCAGATTTGCCCTAAGCTCTTTCCCACATCCCTCTTCCAAACATCAATTAGGGGATTCAGCATTAAACATTTTCCATGCAATATCAATAGTTTAGATAACTCAGAAAGATTATGATTAAGACAGGTTTAACCAATCCCACTTTGAAGGCTTTCTGTCTAGGCAGGCAGGGTGAGACTTCTCACTTTCCCCAAGCTTTCACATCTAGCAATTTCTTTCCCAAGTCTGTACACCACAGTTCTGTTAAATAAGAAAAACAGGACACCAAATAAAATCAATAGGACAAATTATTCAAAAATTGCTAGTCTGAAATTATCAATATACACATTGATGAATATCAAAATAATTATGCTGAAAAAAATCAGACATAAAAGAGTATCTATTTTATGATTAGATTTATACAAAATTCTAGAAAATGCAAACTAACCTGTAGTGACAGAAAGCAGATCAGTGGTTGCCTAGGGATAAGAGTAGGTGGGAAGGGGCTAGGAGGAAAGGATTACAAAAGGGCATAGAAAATTTTGGGGGTGATGTTTCATGGATGAAATGTATCAAAACGCATCAAACTGTACACTTTAATGTGTACAATTTTATATCAACTATAGCTCAATAAAGCTAAACCCCCTCCAACTAATCTTAAGAATTTCTATGCTAGGAGGTTAACCATAATCAAACCTTCCGTATCCATAAGAGCTTTGTCTTCTTTAAAGAAGCTAATGCATCATCCAATGATGCTGTCCTGTTGCCCTCAGAACCCATAGCCTATCTGATGGTTTAATAAAGTAATATGATTAATATAAAAATCATATTAAAAAGTAACATAAAAACAAGTAATATAAAAAAATATGAAAATAAGAGTAATGATGATATAATATAAATGACACATCATTTATAGTACTGAATATTGCTAGGCCGTGTGACAGAGATAAAATTCTTGGAAAAAGTAAAACAATAAAAATACTACTTAGCCCTAGTCAGTTTGGTTAGAGCGTTGGCTCGTGGACTGAAAGGTCTTGGGGTTCAATTCCAGTCAAGGGCACGTACCTCAATTGCAGGCTCTATCCCTGCCCCGGGTCAGGGATGGGAGGGAGGCAACCAATCGATGTGTCTTCTCTCTCACATGGAGGTTTCCCTCTCTCTCCCTCCCTCTCCCTCCCTGGGTTGGGGGTTCAATCCCCAGTAAGGGGTGTACAAGAGGCAGCCAACTGATGTCTCTCTTTCATTGATGTTTCTCTCCCCCCTCCCTTCCTCTCTCTAAAAATCAATAAAAAATAAAATAAAATAAAAACCTAACCACATCAATTAAAAAAAAATTACTCTTAAACAAATTTAAGGCTTAAAATGGAAACCAAACCAAAATAAAATAGGTATGTCTAAAATCCAGCGAACTCAATCTCTTGTAGTAACACCTTATATTTATTTAATAGTCAAAGGTAATATATGCTATAGCCAGATATCAGATCCAATGCAAAGATGAAAAACTGAGATTTTGTGAACTGTCCAAAGTTACAAAATTCAAATGGAGGAGCTGACTTGTGAGTGAAGTCTTCTGACCCTAGTCTAATGTTCTGTCCACTGTATTGGTTAGCTCTCTCTCATGGTTTATAGTTTAAATGAGAAAAATACACAGCATATCAAGATGTCTGTTTTTTTAAACTGACTTCAGAGAGAGGAAGGGAGACGGAGAGATAGAAACATCAATAATGAGATAGTCATTGGTTGACTTCCTCCTGCACATCCCCCACTAGGGATCGAGCCCCTAGTAACCCAGACATGAACCCTGACCAGGAATGGAACTGTGACCTCCTGGTTCCTAGGTCCTCACTCAACCACTGAGCCACTACAGCCGGGCAAGATGTCTACTTTTAAATATACTTATCTAGAGAATTAATGTTCCAACAGGTTTATCAAAAGAATCAGTCCCATTAATCATACCTTATTGTGTATGTTTCAAAATATCAACAACCAGGCTAACTGTAATATATACTATTCAATCTATTATGGAAAAATGGTTTTAAAAAGAAAAGTTTTTTATCCTCATACTGTTCCTTTCAGTCATTTTGGCTGCCAAGTCTATACAAATTTTCTAAGTGTCATAGAGTTCCTCTTTATCTTTTACAATCTGCTTTTTCCTCCCTAAATAAAATGCTTCTGATTTCAAGAATTGTTGCGTGCTAGATGCTGTAATGTTTCACGTCTGGGAATCTTGGGCAGCAGCAGGCAGTGAGGGTACCGGCAACCATGAGATCTGTGCAGCTGCTCAGAACCCCTTCCTGTGCGGCCTGCTCTGGGCCTTTTGTGCCTCAAGTACCAGGGCCGAGCAGCCTGAGGCCGGCTCTTCCCATCCCGGTGACGTGGGCCTGGATAAGCACACAGAGCACAACCAAGAGCATATCATGGAACATCTAGAAGGCATCATCAACAAACCAGAAGTAGAGATGTCCCCACAAGAACTGCAGCTCCATTATTTCAAAATGCATGATTATGACGGCAACAATCTGCCTGATGGCCTAGAACTCTCCACAGCCATCACTCATGTCCATAAGGAGGGAGGGAACGATCAGGCACCACCAATGAGGGAAGAGGAACTGACTAACTTAATAGATGGTGTTTTAGGAGACAATGACAAGAACAACGATGGATACATCGACTATGCTGAATTTGCAAAATCACTGCAGTAGACATTATTTGACCATCTTCTAGTTGTTATGCAAATATGGCCCATTATAATGTGATTGAAAACTTTCGGTAATATAGAATAATTCATTTCCAACTACTGCTGAAGTATTTTGGTAAAAATCTTTAGCAAGTGTTACACTGGTATGAGAAAGAGAAATGGAAGAGAAGGGAAATGGGACATGTTGTAGTCCCCAAGTACTGTTAAGTCTCCTGTTGGACAAGGGCTTGATTAAAGCATCTTTTTAAGAATATTGGATAACTGGAGCTGAATACTCAGAAACATGGCTGTAGAATACTGCTATAGTCTCTTGGTTTTAATTCATGCTACTTGAAAAGTTAAGATGAGCTTTGCCAAGCAGACACACTTTTCAGTAACAGTGAAGGAATGGAATCCATGCCAAATGTTCCCCCTTTGGGTCCTGTGTCTTCAGGTAAATGTGATCAGTATTCTGTGACATTCCCTGGCTTAAATGATTACTTGCTATGGGCAAGTGAGTATTGATGAGGCTATTTCAAAGCCACAGCATAACACGAATGTCAGATATTGAGCTCAGCAAGCCAGAGTCTGGATCTTCCGGCACTTGGATATGATGCACCACTGACCTAAGTGGTTAACCTTTTTTCAGTTTTTCAATATTTTTTAAAACTACTGTCTTATCCTTATATTTTATTTCTTTTGTCTTCTTCAGCCTGGGAGAGACCTTGAATTTAAAAGTGTTCTCTAATCAATAGCACATGTTTTAGCTTTCTTAATATTTGTATTTAACTCTTGTTTCTAGGGTTTCATTTTTGCAGTTTAGAAACATAGGAATGCAAGGATTTATCTCTTGTGCTTGATACAGTGGGGGTAAAACTACTTGCTGCGGTAGCCTAAATGCAAAGTGAAAAGTTCATTCACCAAGTACAGTGATTAACCTGATACAAGTTGTATTTAGTAGGAGTGTTGTTTAAATGACCTCTTCTAGCCTACATTTGTGAATTCTTTCAGATCAGGAAAGAGTAGAAAAAGAAGCCTAAAAACTCTAGTGTGCCTCAGTAATAGTTGAAAGTGAGAAGCAGTGGCAAATTCTAATTTGGTTTATTGGATGTGATGGACATACTGTGATAAAAAAATCATAAAATGATGATCAAATGGGGGAAAAACTGCATAAAATTTGCTGTAAAATGTATAGAGACTTATTTTCTTTATTAAAGTACTCTTATAAGAAAACATATGTATTTGTAAAAATGGTTTCCTATGTCAAGTATTTGTGCAGTCAGAACTGAATTATAAACTATTCTTGTAAAATCTAGTTATTTTGAAAAATTTATATAATGAATTCTGAATATATGATCAATAAAACTGCTGAAACAACAACAAAAGAATTGTTGAGTGCTAGAACAGGGCTGGGGTAACCTAACACACACAAAAAAATCTTTCACTTAAGTTGACAAGCAAACCCCTCCCCAATGATGGAGTAGTTTTCACTCAGACTCAGAATGAATGAACTGATAGGCACAGACATACAAAACATGAGCACATTTTGAAACTTGCAATCTCACTGGATTTAGTATAGCTTTCTGATGTCCTAAAAGTATTAAAGTCCCAAATACTATACATTTTAAGGCAGATAATTTTCAAACTCTCCTTGCCTGTCCTAACTTATTGGTTAAAGTCCATTCAATTCCATCCATTAAAACACTGCAGAGCTTTCTTCCATCCCTGCTCCCAAAAACTGCATTAGTGGCCCACAATCATGGCAATGCTTAGTTTCTGTCAGTGCTTAGGCTCTACTGCTGCAGGGGCAAAGGAGAGTGAAGGGGCACGGTGAGCCCAGTTCAGGCAGAATTCACCAAAGGCTGGAGGCCCAGGGGTGATGGTAGCGCCATCTCCTGGGTCTGGTCACTGAGCTGGCACAAACATCTACAACTGAAGGCAGCTTAATTAAGAACAGGAACAATGAGAAAGAAAAAACCTTTCCTATGATGTGTACAAGCCAAAGCTATGCTTTAAAAAATGGTCCTATAAGTACCATCTCTGCGAGGGCCAGAGTCCCAATGCTAAAACCTCCTATGTGGCTCACTATGCTCCTCTTTCGCCAGGGAAAGTGTGGTCCCAAAAGGAAGGCGGTGGGAAAAGCCCACAGAGGCCAACATACTGAAATGAGTCTTCCAGAAACTGAAGATCGAGGAAGAAATCTCAATTCCCTCATCTCTCTGAGTGGTGGCACTATGGGCTAGAAAACCGATCCTACGTGTTCTCTCAGACCTCGTGGGTCGACGCTCCCTCCCCACTATGGGCGACCCTAAACGTCAGGGTTGCAGGGTCCTGGAAAGAGACCCTTGAGTCACTGGGACTCTTGACGCCATTTTCTGCCTGTGACGTCAGGGGCAGGCGCCCTGCCGCAACGTCACGCATAGGTGACGTCGCGGGGGAACCGGGTTTCAGGATTTCTCACCAGTTCCGGGGCCCCGTGGAGGGGGGGTCCCGGTCTTCTCTGTTCCTTTGGGTTTGTTGCGGGGCGCGAAGCACTGCTGTCTTCAGAGTCTCAGTAGTAAAAGCAGCACTGTCGCCCCAGCAGTTCCTCTTCCTGCAAAATGGCGGTAGCTTCGCTGTCTTCCAGAACTTTCCCCAATCTGCGCAGGCGCTAAAACATTCAGGCGGTGGAACTAACCTCACTGGTTTCGCGGCAACAGGCCAAAGTACAGATTTTTATTGGTTAAAATTTTAAGCATGGGTGGGGCCAAACTCAAATGTTTCTTGGCAACCAGCAAGTCCCCATTGATTGGCTAAACTCCCCGAGACTTCCGGAATGTGGAAGCAGCCTCCCACCGCTCTCATTGGTTAAATGAAGGAGAACAAGAGGTAAGGACTCTCCTACCCGGTTCCTGGCCATTGCCAGGGGTGGAGCCAGCTACTTGTAATAGACGTTCTGGACTGCCCCAACCGATTTGTCAAAGGGGTCACGTCGGTCATGGGACAGCTCTGTGGAGAGCAACTGCGTTTGCTTCACGTCGGGAAACAGGCTCGACTCCACATCCCCATTCTGGACAGGCTGTCTACAAAACCCTCTCAAACGCCTCCTCCCGCCCTCAGTGCTTGGGACCTGGGAAGCAGAAGTCTTGTCACAGACTTGTCTGGTCCTACAGCTCACATACTTGCAGTTCAAATTAGTACCCCATTACCTCACTCTACAAGGGTAAAATAAACTTGAGACACTTTCTCAGGTGACTCCTTCCGTGGAGCAGTAGTCAGTTTAACCAGAAAGCGATGGAACTTATTGATGTCTGCCCCCCAATCCCAAGACTTCCAAAAAGGAAGCTGGGTCTAACATGGAGAGAGCCAGAGTCAGAGGACTTACATTCCAGTCTGGATTTTAATAGTAGCTTTATATTATTGTAGCAACTTCAAACACTTCCTCAATAAAATGAAGACTTGGACTAGATGATCTCTTAGGACTATGATTTTGTTCCAACCAAATAGGTTGCCCTGGCCAGTGTGGCTCAGTGGTTAGAGCATTGGCCCACACACCCTAGGGTCAAGGGTTCAATTACTGGTCCATACCTGGGTTGCAGGTTCCATCCCCAGCCCAGGTTGGAACACGTGTGCAAGAGACAACCAATCAATGTGTGTCTCACATCGATGTTTCTCCCTCCCAGTCCCCTCCACTCTAAAAATCAATGCGAAAAATATCTTCGGGTGAGGATTAACAACAACAAAAATATAGGTGCGTTCTTGCTGGAGATGCCTGGATGGCTTTGTTTCTTTCCCAAGAGGTAACAAAGGTACTAGCAGTTCAGCAGCTCAAGAAGGTAGAAGGAAAGCTGGTGCTATATACAACCCCATCTTTTGCCATGGTGGCAAATTATGCCTCCTCCCTAGACAAAAGCCTAATCATAGGTCCTAATGGACTAGACCTCTCTGTAGCTAGTTAGAAAGACCTATACCCAGGAGTCCAAGAGTCACCACTAAGCTCTTCGATAATGGCACTGATCTAAATATGTTTAGGTTTAAGTAAGGTGTAGGAAAGCAGAGGCGGGGAGGGGGGTTGGAGCACGAAAGGCCATAACTTCACTTTATTTGTATTTTCTCCCACACAAAACCATCAAAACAGTAAAAGAGATGGGCAGGGAAAAGGCTGAAAATATGTTCAATCTGCACCTTCTCAGGGCTATTCCAGAAAACACTTGAGGCTGAGGGCCTGTCAGAATAGCTTCAGATCCAGCACTAATTCCTCATGCCTTGGCCTGGAGTCTTCACAGGTTGGTGGCTTCAACGTTGTAATTAATTCTCCTTTGCCCACCTTGATGTAAGGCAGGAAAGCAGAGTGAAATGCTCCTCTCTGATGGGCAAGGGGAATCAAAGCCCACAGATATACTGCACCTTCTATGCTATAGAAGCAGAACCTGAAATTGCTTCTGGACATTTGCAGGCTTGGCTAGAGGCCGATGGTGTATGAGCGGCCTGTGGGATTGTGAATAGCAGAACAGACCGGTGCTGTCACAGCCCACTCATACCACACCTTCTTGGAATTGCTGCATCGCCAGAAACGCACACAGATGGTCTGGCCTTCACGCACCGTAATGGGCTGCTGTAAGGAGACAGACAGAATTTCAGGGTGGAGCTAATGAGTTATATGTGGCAATGTACTGAGCTAGGTGTGGAGATAAAGTGATAAAACATGACATCCCAACCCTCATGAAGTTTATTTGAAAACTATCAGAACAAATAATCAGAACTGAAAAATTAGACATTAAACAAATAATCTAAAATGTGATCAGTGCTGTGAACATATACAGGGGGAACGCTAACTTAGTCTAGGAAGTCAGAATGTTATCTGACAATAAGAAAGTTTAAGGAAACCTGAAAAATATGTTAGCTGGATGAAGAGGTAAGCAAAGAATTTTATAGGCAAAGGAGAAAGGTATGAAAGCCTGAGGCAGGAAATAAGATGGGGTATTAGAGGAACTAAAAGCCACTCCATTGAACTGAAGGAGTATAATCAAGGGGACAGTAGCTGGAAAGGTAGGTTAAAACCAAATCACACCAAGTCTTACAAGCAGTGCTCAGGATTTTGACTGTTACTCTAAGGACAGTGGGATGGGTTTTAAGCAGGATAGAGATATAATCAGATTTGAGTTTTTAAAAGATGACTCTTACTCAAGGTAGAAATTAGAAAAGCAGTTAGAGGAGATGTGGGGAAGTCACGTAGAAGGCCACTGCAGGTATCCCAACATTTACAACTGGGATCTGAGCATGTGAGAGCAGTAGGACATGGGTCATAGCTAAGCATCATCCATAACCCAACAGCCTAAGTTTTAAAGGCGATTCCTACCTTAATGGGGAAGAAGATAGGAAACCATGAGAACATCCCAGGAGAGTGAGTCTCTGGACGGATACCTATGTGGACAAAATAATGAAAAAATTGAGGTCTCCATAATTGTGTTTTTCGACTAGGTTGAGAAATCTTTTGGATTACTTTGAAACAAGTAATCAAACATCCTGGGCTCCCTGTAATTCTAAATGAAACATGTTCTTGAGCTTCCCAGGTAGTACATGCTCATATCCCACCATCCACTGCCCCAAACTCACTCAGAGTGATGTCCCCATAAAGCACAGTCTCAAAGTAGCCTGCAAAGCCATGCAGCACTGTGTTCACCTCCACGGGAAACTCCAAGGTACAGTAGCGGTTGTTGTCAATCATAGGATCTGTCAGGGAAGAATTGTATGGGTGTCAAAGGGCCAGAAGTCCGAGACAACTTGGTAAAGCATTAGCAAGAACAAGGGAAGCTTAGACAGGGTAGACGCAGGACAGCAAGGGAAAAAAATAGGTAGGGGAGCTCTTACCCACCCAGGAAGAGGACAGACACATCCAGGAACCCACCTCTGTTGGGATGGCTGAAGGTAAAACAAGGCTGGGGCACAGAGAGCTGGTGGAAGTTGTGCAGTCGTACCACATAAGGCATCTCAAACTGGGCCTGACCCAAGAGACAGAGAGCAAGAGCTGGAGAAGACAGGTAAGAGATACCTATTTCCTCAGGGAAAGAAGCTCAAGTCTGAGGGACACAGAAAAGAATGAAAACAAACTTTCACTTCGGCTACTTTCCCACATCCCAACTTCTCCACCTTGCCATCTTCTGCAGAGGAATAAAATAATTGGTGATAATACAGAAAAAGAAAGGATTAAAGAAAGGAAATCTCCAGAAGAGGGTGGCTCTTTACCTCAGGGTCACGGTCCTTTTCCCGACAGGCTCGGACCTCATTGTACAGCTTGGAGGAGGAGATAGGAGCCAGAAAGGAGGTGTACTCCCCAGGGATGCTCACACCATCATCTGCAGTGCAGGAGGGCTACATTAGTTCCCAAGGGATGGAAATGGTATATTTGTACTAACTGAAAGCTTAAAACTCACATATCCAAACAAATCCAGGCAGCTCAATGTTGTTACATCCCCAGGCCAACCTGCTCCTAACTCCTGTCACAATGATTCCACTTCCAGGTTAATTTACAGAGTCACACAAGATTAAAACTTCCCTGGCCAGTTTGCTCAGCAGTGGTTAGTATGTCAGCCATGGACTAAAGGGTCACAGGTTCAATTCCAAGTCAAGGGCATGTACCTGGGTTGCAGGTTCGATCCTCTCTCACATCAATGTTTCTCTCTCTCCCGCTCTCCCCCTCCCACTCTCTAAAAAAAAAAAAAAAAAAAAAAAAAAAA